CTTCTATCCTAAACCTCCTATCCCCTATGAGCAGGGGCTCCCGTCATCTCTGAACTGAAAGGGAATCAGGATTCTAAGAGGTCTGTTTGCCATTTGCAGCCTGGAAAAGGCATCAGACTGCCTCTCATCCAAGCTAGCAAACAGGGCACCACTGGGGGCAGTCGGGGTGGGGTGGGACGCAGGTCAGGGTTCAGAGTGTGGGAAGCCACTTCAAGGAGCCCAGGAGCCCCAAGATCTAAAAACATAATGGGGGGGGGGGCATTTAGATAAGAAAGGTCATGGAAGAGGGAAGAAGAGATGCCAGCACCAATAAACACCCTCCCTCCTGCCCAGCGCGGCAGTAAGACTCCATCGTGGGGAGGTGGAGACTCAGAAGGACCCAGTACCAGCTACTGTCACTCGCCTAATGGGTTTCTGAAATTTCAAGGAACTGAAAACAACAGTCCCCACGCCCCCAGAAGCCTACCCCCAAGGGCTGGTCTCTTATTTGCTGTGTAGCAGCTACTTAACAAATATGAGCCTTGGCTTCTTCCTCTGTAAATGGGGATAATTTCTCAAGGTCATCCCAAGGACATCATTTATGAAAGAAGACTATTGTATAGCAATATTCAGCTGCAATGGTTAATTGTTCGACCTCCACATCTGGGTTCTGGAGTGATGCCTTTCAGCTGCCAATGACCAACTTAAAAGAAAGGAAGGAAGATAGGAAAATAGGAAGGGAGGGAGGGAGGGAGAGTCTGAGCTAATCAGACAAGGCAGACACTCTTCAGCCGTCAACTTCCCACCCAGCTCTAACTCCCCCTCACCACCGGCCTTCTCCAGCCTGGGCCCTCCTGCGCCCCAGGCCTGGGCATTCCTGCTCTTCTACTGTCCTCCACAGAGCAGGAGGACACTGACTAGACTACACCTGTGAGTCAGGGCTCTGCAGCAGACTGAATCAGCAGAGTGGACAGTCCCAGCCTCCCAGCAGCCTGGACAGAAAGGAAAATGTCAGTGCCTTCACTGGAGGTGGGCTGGGGCCGGGACCTAGGTTCAAGTTGAAAAGATGTTTCTAGAAAGACAGAAGAGTCTCAGGTGGTCTTTGCTGACTTCTCAACCTCTCTTCCCTCTGTCAATGCCATCACAAGACACTTCTGTTTGGCCTCGGTGGGAGTGGCCTGGTGACCGGCTCTCTATTCTCATCTGGTGTCCACTTGTCTCAGCCCAAATCTCTCTTCTCCTCAGCCCAGAATTTATTCTTGGCTGAGAGGGGATGGGACTGGCTATAAGTTCCTGGCTCTATGTGGATCAAGAGGGCATTGATTGTCCCCAAACGCCACTCACAGGCCTAAACCGTACCTACCTCCTTGGTCTTTAGCCCTGATACCCGTGACCCACAGCACTCCTTTTCCCAGAGATCCTCTGTGATCTCTCTGTGTCAGTGATGTTTACCCATGAACTTCAAGAAAACCCAAGGAATGCTCTACTCAGTGGAAGAACCTAGGCTTCATGATAGTCAGAGAAAGCAGTAGAGGGCCTAGGGTGACCTCCACTGACCACTCCACAGCCACTGGCTTCTTCTTTTCTGTCTTAACCCTGGGTGTACAGCGCTGGATAAAGCATGGCCTTTAACGAGGGCGGTTTTCACTCTTGGCCCATGCGGGGCCCATTTGAAACTCTAGCAGCAGTGAGTTTAACTTCATACACCCCAACAAATCCTAGGGCTTCAATAACGACCTCCATCTATTCACAAGATCCCTCTTCCTCTCTCACATGCCCATCCGTGCCCCAGTGAGGTAGGAGGGAAGGCCTCTTCCACTTTTTAACTTAGCTGCTAATGACTGTATATCTCTTATAGGGTAGCAGCCATGCCAGCCACACTCTACCAAAGCTGGCATCACTCTGTGCCCAGTGTTCACTGCTCCTTTGCTCTTCTGAAAATGCTTCTGAACTGTGTGTCGTCTGCTGGGAACTTCTTTTATTGTTGATATCCAATCACTAATGCCACCATCTTATTTTATGTCACTGTAGTTCATTTCTTGTAACTGAAGCTCAGCATTTCACTGTGAACACTGTATGCCACAGGCAGCTTCTGAAAGACTCAACAAACACTGACATCAATAAATATTTATTCATTACCTACTACATGTGGGACATTGTGGGAGGTATCAGGGATGCCGTGATTAATGGCAGTTTCAACTTAGCGCATGAATTTGGTTCACACTTTTTCTTTTTCCCTTTTGTTTGCAAATGGGGATGAACCATTTGCTTTAACCACCACTCAGGGACAGCAGTTGGAAGCATTAGCCATGGTGGGCCTTGGGTTGCTTCAGTTCAGCTCAAGATGAGGAGCCGAGGCCAGGCAGGGAGCAGACTGTAAGCATTTCCCTCTGTGTCTCAGCTTCTGCTGCAAATCCTCATCCAGCAAAGGACATAGTCAGTGTCTAATGAATGAATGATAAACAAAAGCAATCTGCCCTGCATTCGCAAACCAGTGCAGGCAGGCATGCGTGCACAGGTGAACTCAGTGGAAAAGGAGGAATCGATGGTTAAGGGGACTCGATGGATGCTCTTAGTATCCTGCCAGTCCTTCTGCCAACCTCCCGCATCTCAGCAAACATCCTCACCTGCTTATCCAAAACCCAGGGCATCCCCACTGGCAAGGCCCATTCATTGCCTTTGCTTCCAGATGCTTGTGGAGTCTTCTCTACACCGCCCTCCTCTGTCCCTCTCCTGTCCTCACCTCCCTCTAGCCAGGCCAGTCTCTATGCAGGGTCGTCAGTGCCCCAAGCTTGTTTCTGCCCACTTGGTTCTTTCTGCTGCTAAGACACCACCTCCCCGGGAGATGCCCCCCAGCCACCCTTACTCAGAGTGCCCCCTGGAGACCTGGTCCAAGATGACCCCCTCACCAACTTCTATTTAGTTTGGTAAATATTTAATGCTACTCATGCTGGTAACCAGACACCCCATATCAATCCTTTTTACCCTTGAGTTGGCTGAGTTAGATAAAAGGATTTTGTAAACTATTACATGCCAATTGTAAGCAAATCACCGTCTGCATTATCATTACCTGACTCTCTAGCCACAACAAGGCAGGCTTACCCAATGTGTCTTCATCTTTATCCTGAAAATTTTCCCTGCATCCAGCTCCAGCAATGACAGAGGAGAGGAGAGCCACAGCGTAGAGCCGATGGGCAGAGTGGAGTATCCATTCACTCAAGCCACTGAATGGCATTTCTGAGAGCGTGGTCTTAGGTTATCACCAACACCTGTACACAAATGCAAGGGCAGGCACCTCTTGCACTTGTTCACACCACTTTATAGGTGCACTGAGCACACGCTCACATGCAGGTTCACACGTAAAGTATGCGTGTCTCTTTTTCTCCCGGACCAGACACTCAGATTCCTGCCCTCTGAGCCCTTCCGTTTCTCTCTCCTACAAGATTTCCTCCCTCTCTTCTCTTTCCCAGTCCGGTTGAGGGTGTGGAATCCCTCGGCTCTGTTGAGGTCTAAGTGTCCATGCAGGGGATTTGCCTGACCCTTTGTGCAGAGGTCATGGTACCCCAGTGTTGGCAGGGACAAGGCAGGGCCCTGTACATTTCCATACATGCTCCGTGCATGAGGTCATGGCTGGCTGACGTAGTATCCAGACAGTTGCTGCTGTCTGCAGAGCTGAATTGGAATACAAGCGCTGCATACTATTAGCTGTGTGCTTTGGGCAAGATCCTCAAACTCTCTGGGGCTCTCCGGTCAGAAATGCCACTGTATATTCTGATAGTTCTTGTGTTTGCTCTTTCATTGGGTGTAACATCCCTTAAGTAAAACACTCAAATCAAAAGTAAACCTCTCAATGAGGTTTTACCCATATAAACATACAAGTAGCCAACACCCAGAACAAGATCTAGAAGTTTCTCAACATTCCAGAATGCTGTATTGTGTTCCTTCCAATAACCACCCCTCCCTCCCTAGTTATGACTATTACCCTGACTGTTATCACCTCTTAAACTTTGACTTCACCTCTTAAACCTCATGCAGTGTATACTTTTGTGTCTGGTTTCTTTCCTCCATCTTGTCTATGAATTTCACCCAGATCACCGTATTTAGTACTATTATACTCTAGTCTAGTGCTGTAATTCTATAAATTATGTAGACTACATTTTATCTACCCTGCTCTTAATCAGCAATGGGGTTTCTTCTGATGGTTAGCTATTACTAAGGAAGCTACTATGAACATTCATCTCTAAGTTTTTGCTAGATATGTGTATTTCTTTTGGCTTTATCCTGGGTCAGAATTATTGGGTCAACAAATCAGAGAATAGTCATATATTTTGCATTAGTAGATTTAACCAAACCATTTTCCGAAGTATGAGGATAAATTTACACTCCACAAACAGTGGATGCTCCACATCCTCATCAGCACCAAATATTGTCAGCTTTTTTAAGTTTAGCTATTCTGATGTTTATGTAGAGATATTTCACTGTAGTTTAAATTTGCATTTGCCTCAGATGTAAACGCACTGAACATCTTTTAGTACTTATTAGTCACTTTTTTTTTTTTTTTGAGACAGAGTTTCACTGTACAGTTCACGCTGGCCTTGAACTCACTTTGTAGCCCAGGCTGGCCTCAAACTCTCAGCAATCCTCCTGTCTCAGCCTCTTGAGTGTGGGATTTATTAGCCACTTGTAAAGTATCTATTCAAGCTTTTGCAGAAATATGCTATCTGTGAAACTAGGCAAACTATTGATGAAAACAGATAAGGCAGAATTCAGCAATATACATAACGTTAGCAACTAGTCATTTCAATAATTGCTAATTGTTACAGTGAGTAAACGAGTTAGGCCAGGTCAAATAGGTACATGACTGAAATTTTTATCTTGAACCGATTATAGAGCTCACAGAGATCCCCACTTAGATTTAGCACAGTGAAGGAACACACACAAGAATCAAGGGTCTGCTGCGGCCAGCTAGCCCCACCTTAGAGGTTCCCTCACCCAACTCACTGTTTTTTCCTTCATTACAGGATCCCAACAGTGACCATCCCCTGAACAGCCTCGGTAAGCTCGGTCCTTTGTCTCCTTCAGCCTCTGAGCTCCAGTTACCAAGCAGAATCGAGCTAGTCTCACATGGCCCTCATTACCGCATGCCAAATGGTGCAGGAGACATCCAGCTCCTATCAATCCAACAGTCAATAAATGTTAAGTAATTGTAAATTCCAGGATTTATTCTAGAAGGAGGAGGCCTAGTCTCTGGGGAAACAGGGTTAATAAGCTTAAAGCTCCAGGAGCAGAGATTCCCCAGTTCCATCACCATGCCAGGGCCTGGGCTGCTGCTGGATGCTGGGATTTATTAGCCACGATGAGCCCTCGTGGAGTTTACAGGCCACCCAGGCTGTCGAGAAACATGCTGGCCCATGTTTTCACTGGTTGGAAAGAAAATGGCAGTGTTTGCCTGTTTTGCTGCAGAAAAATAATCTAACACATAGAATATTCCCAATTTTAAATGTTACATTTGGCTGTATCCTGGATCAGAGTTGTTGGGTAAATAAATCATAGAATAATCACATATTTTGCCCTAATAGATTTAACCAAACCATTTTCCAAGGTATTTGTATGAATTTACATGCCCACAAATAGCATATGTTACGTTTTCTTAAACCATTGATATCTATTCTTGACTTGGCTTACTGGACAAGCAAAACAAACAACGCATCAATTAATATGGACAGATCAATAAGAAAGTGCCTGATCCTGCTTACCTTGACAGTTTATTTCTCAGTTGAGGGTCATGAGTTAATAACGAACACAAACAATGGAATCTTCAGCAAGTAAAAATGGTAACTTTTTATGCTTTGGAATTTAATAGATCACTGAACCATGGTGACCCCCAAAGAACACTGGGCTCCCTAGGGCTCCACCCAGTGAGTAAGCCTGAAAACCACCAGACTAGAAAATGAGATGATTGTACCTCACATGCCTCGAGTGCAGGGAGTGAACCCTTCGAGCTACTCAAGTGGTCAGGGATGGCCCCAGGGGCCAGGCCGTACAAGATGAGTCAAATGTCAGCACAGAAGGAAGAGAGGAAGTCTCCAGGGAGAAAGGAAGAGCCCAAGCCTGCAGGCGCAGAGGTGAAGATTAGCAGGTTGTTCTGGGCCAGAAGCAAAGCTGCCAGTGCAGAGCTGGGCTCTGGTGAGGACTGGCTGTGGAAGTCCATTCGGCTAATTACTGACTTTGAAAGCACAGGGGAGAGTACAGTCCAGCTGTGGCGGTCACAAGGAGCCAGGGAAAATAAAACACCATCTTTCAGGAAGCTGTCCAGAAGCAGTGGGCAGACGGACTGGAGGAAAGATCGGTGGCAGGCTATTCATAGCTCAGAGGGTTCAAGAAATTAAAGGAAGTATGAAGCTCCTTCCCTTCCTGCTAGGAGAAGCCGGAGGACCCTGAGATCATCTGTGAGGTAGAGAGCTTGGGCCTGGACCCGGGGACTCGTGGCCCCCAGCAGATCATTCACCCTCCAAGAAAACAAACATAGAAAATGTCCCCAGGGGTAGGTGCTCCCACTAAGTAAACCATGAATGCATGAATGAACTAAATGGCACCACATTCACAGGAGAGAGGGTAGTTTTGAAAACTGGCTGCTAAAATGTGAAAGAGCTGACGTTACTGGTAACCTGTTTTGTGCCAGGCCCTCACAATTTACAGGCAAAGCACAGACAGTCCTCATCCCCAGCACCTGGCCCCTGTGTCCAAGGTTAAAACTCTCTTTTAAGAAAACATGAAGTTTTCATTAAAATCAGCATTTCTAGAGTGCCAGATTCTGGCAGGGTGTCATTCTCTGCTTTTGAAGAGTACAGGAAAAGGACAGAACTAGACAGGTGTCTAGATATCATGCAAAGCAGGATAAAAAGAGATCTGAAGACAGATGGAAGGGGTGTGCTTAGGAGCATATTCATTCAACACACACTTGGTGAATGTCTCCTGCAGGGCAGGCACTGTTGCAGGCACTGGGGACTCAGGAATGCACAAAGTCCTGCCTTCATGCGGTCTTCATTTCAGGAAAGGGAGAGACAGGAGACATGCAAAACAGGTAAAATATGCACCCTCCAGAGGACCAGCCTATTGCTCGCTTAGGTCCTAGCTCTTCCTGAAGGAGAGGTCCTCCAGGCACCTCCACAGCTTATTTGTCTGCAAGGAGAGGAGACTGGAAAGAACCACCTCTGCCCCTTATTGAGAACCTAACTGTTCACAGCCATTCCCATGACCCAGCTCCTTGAACGGCCATCGGAGTGAGGTGCACATGTAATTATTACCCATTTTAGGCCACAATGAGGTGCTACCTCACCTCCCTAATCCTCTTTTGATCCAGTCCACCTCCTCCCTGATGAATGATTCCTCTTTCTAAATATTATTTGATCATGTTATGCACAGACAAAACTCTACTGCCCAAAAACTTTTGACAACTCCACACTGTCTTCAGGACAAAGTCCAGTGTTTAGCATGGCTTTCAAACGTCTCCACAAGCTGAGTTTGTTTTGCTGCTTCCTAACATGCTTTGGCCCACCTCAGATTGTGGGTCACGGGCACTCAAGTTCCCACTTCACGTTGTCCTGGGCTGGTCCCACGACTCCACCTATACCTGAGTGCTACCCACTCAACAAGCTGTCCTCAGCCTGCCTTTGATGGTGCCTCTCGGTAACACACGCCACCTTCCACACTTTCATCCGTGTCCCTGTTTGCCCTTCTCCAGATTATAATTTCCTTAAAGACAAGAGCAGCCAGATGTGATAGTATGTACGTACAATCCCACACTCTGGGATTGTGAGACAGGAGGATTCCACATTCAAACCCAGCCGGGGCAACCTAGAAAGACCCTATCTCAAAATCAAAACTATAAAGAGGGTTGTAAATGTAGTTCAACACAAGCACCCTAGGTTCAACCACTAGAAACACATACAACACACACACACACACACAAAGACAAGAAAAATGCGAGGACTTACTGTTTGTTGACTGACAGAGATGGCAGCCATCCAGTTGCAACCATCTATAAGTATTATTAAGCCTCTGCTCTCAGCTCTCACTGGGCTGGAGGGCTCTACCTTCCTGAGCTTATAGTTTAATCAAAAGATAAGTCAGAGATAAGAGGAATACATCTAATGTTCAATAGCACAGTGAGGAACTGTATTTAGCAATTATATTTTAGGAGTTTCTGAATATTCCCAACACAATGAAGTCACAAGTGACCAGGATAATACTATACCAATTAACCTGACGGGATCGTCACACACTGTATATCTGCATTGAAATGTCCTACTGTAGCTCACAAACATGTATAATTACTATCAATTAAAAATTAAAAGATATTTAAAAATATGTCAGGAAAGAATAAAGGATAGCACAATGAATACCATTCATGTTCATGCAGGACTTGGCCAGTCCCAGGGCAGGCTCAGTGTGGACTGACCAGGGGACACATCCTAGGACAGGAGAGGGCTGTGATGGAGAACCTATGAAACCCATGTTATTATGTTTTCTTTTAAAACAAAAGATGTTAATGGATGAGTTGATTTTTTCTGAACTAAAACCTCAACATTGTGGTTTAGTGACAGTGTTGGTCCTTTATGATAAGTGGGTTTGGGGTTGCAGCTTGGTCACTGGGTCTCTGAAAGGTTCACCATCACTGGGCTGGGGAGACAGGAGCATGGCAGTTTGGAGGGCTGTGAGAGGTGGATAAACCTGAGGAAGGGAAGGAGACAGGCTGGCCTTGTCCTTAGGAAGAATCCCCCAGCATAAGCCAAGATTTTCCAGTTCTGCTATAGACGGGGAGGCTCCAAGCGCTGACCACACGCTCCTTCTCTCTGCCTCAAACATCCTGCAGATGCCACCCCTGTACGCAAGCCCCGGACTCGAAAGGAGACCTTCAGAAAGGTGGGGATCCCCATCATCGTGGCGCTTCTGAGCCTGATGATCATCGTCGTCGTGGCCATCCTCAGTAAGTTACAGCCCCTGGGTAGGTGCTAGGACCCTCCCTCCTTTACCCAGAGCTGTTAGTGGCAGCTTTGCCTACCTCCTGCACCCCCACAGCCAGAGGTGGGTGATCAGCATAAAGCCCTAAGAAAACAGAAAAGAAAAGTGCATCCACCCCTGCTTTGAAAGGAACCTTCTTCCAAGAGTGAAAGGAGAAGATGAACTCAGCTCTCATCCGTCTCTCCTCACCTCTCCCAGATTTCTCCTTCACTCATGACATGCGTCACAAACCCACACAGGCAATGGCAGGGCACCACTCCTGCCTCCTCCTTCCCGTTCCCTGCAGATTGACAGCTGTGTGGGTCTCAGCAGACCTTGGGACTGCCAGGACAGGAAGCATTTCTGCCAGTGAGATACACAGGAGTCATCGGGGAAGGTGGCACCCCCTCCCCAATTCAGCTCTGTCTTCATCATTTGAACGTCTGAGCCCTAGTGTGACCCTGAGAAGCCCACTCTGTGACACATAAGATTCAGCTATGTGAGCAGTGATTCCCACCACCTGGTCCAGCTCCCACACCCTGCACCTGAGTGCATCTCACAGTCACAGCAGGTTACTGAGCACAGCAGGAGCTGAGGCTCAGGAGACCAGGCTAGGCATCAGGACACTGGGGACAGAAACCTTGGCTCTGCCCCTTTGCTGCTGTGCAACCATAAATGGGCCCTCCGTCTCTCTTACCCTAAACTCTTCACCTGTAAAATGTCCTGTCTTTCACCGAGCAATGTCACGAGGACCCTGGAGATACTGTGAAAAAAAAAACCAAGTTGCATAAAAGTGTGTGCCATCGTACTGCCTGCTGAGATGTGACCCAGGCTGTGCGTTTACTAATCAGGCAGGACTATTTGGGCACCCTGGGAAGGGCTAGCTCTTTGGAAGCCATTTGCTTTGAAACTAAGGTGGCCTCTGCACCAGCAGCAGGGACCAAGCTTGTCAGAAGATACTTGGGGATCTCCTAGTCTAACCCCTCACTTTTTAATGGACCACTGAGGCTCAAAAGGAGGTGCAGAAACAAGGATAAAGCTACAAGAGGGTCCCAGGCATTTGACTAAGCAGGTCCAGTTCCATCCCAAGGCAGGAGATATGCAGACCCACACCATACGCACCACCTAAATCCCTAAGAGCCATGGATGGGTGTGTGAGACGCAAACAAATCCAAATCACTCCTTCTTGACCTTGGCTGACCTGACATGACAGTGACTGTGTTAGTCAGCTTTCTACTACTATCACAAAATACCTGAGATAATCAGCTTATGAAGAGAAAAAAGTTGCTTTGGCTCAGTGTTTTGGAGGTTCCTGCTCATGTTTGCTCCCACTGCTTTTGGGCCCATGCCAAGGTAGCACATCACAGCAGGATGATAAATCAGAGCAAATCTCTTTACATCAGGAGTCAGGAGGTGGGAGGCAGTGGAAGAGGCTGCAGTGCCATAATCCCCTTAGAAGGAATACGCTTGGCACCCTAAAGACCTCTCACTAGGCCCCATCCTGAAAAGCCACCACCTCCCGATAACACTTTCCTGGGGTTTGGGCCTCTGGGGGACATCCCAGGTCCAAATCACAGCAGTGGTCTATAGCATCCCCCAGATCTGCCACCTTGTTTTATTCAGACTAATATTAAAACAGGCTTACTTTCTCTGAGCCTGTGTTTTGCCACAATGGAAAGATAAGAGGCCAAATATATCCAAAGGAAGCCATAAAGGCCCAGAATCATAATCTAGAGTTGGGCTCTTGCTATCCCAGAAGGCCCTGAATGGTTTCCATGACTTGGTTTCTCCCAATCCTGGAATCAGAGGTGGCAAACAACTCCTTCACCCTGAGCTAGGCTGTCTCAATAACTTTGGCTCCTGGGTTATCAACTGTTGACCCTGTCTCCTGGCTTTGTCCCAGAAGGCTGGGATGGTCTCGCTTACTCTGGCTCCTGATCATGAACCAACCAAACTTGAAAGATCTAAGAATATCCTGGCCTGCTCCTTCTTTACATCACTCAAGAAAGGAGCATCAGGGCCAGTAGATCCCATCCTCAGATCCTTCTGGGAGGTAAACAGATGCTGGCTTTGTGACATGAACACTGTGAGGCTTTGGGAAATAAGCCCTAACCCTTCCCTCCTCGGGCTCCTTATCAGTTCTATAAATCAGAGTGACACCTCCCTCCTGAGGCTGTGGCCAGGATGCATGGGAACAGGATGGAAATTTGCCAGCAGACTGGCCAGGGGGAGCCATCATAGACCCACTGCCACCACTCTTGGCACAAGCTGAGACTGATGCTAACCTGGAAAGAATTCATTTAGGAGAGAGGGTGTGTCTGACTGTGTCATCACCAAAGAAACTTCTGGAAATAACTGTTCCCTAAGGGGCTGATTACACTAAATGCATTGCTGTCTGCCTAAGAGAAAAAGCAACAGAATTGACTGCAGCTGGCAGAATCTTAAGACAGAAGGCAGAAAACAAAACATCATTCTCCTCATGAGTCTTTCAATTCCAGATAAAAACACCTGTGTCTAGAACTATCCTTAGGAGTTACAAGACATTTGCACAACTCCCAGCTTACCGTTCTTCTCACCAGCCTGTGAGATGAGTACTAGCATTGCATCGTACAAAGGGAGAAACTTATTCCTAGCTGGGCTTCCTAGCTGGGAACGCACACAGTGAGAAACAGAGCCAGAACTAAGTCTCAGGACCGCGAGTTTCCCATCTGTCTCCTGCATCGTTACTTAGAGCCAGAGCTCTAAGTAAAAGACCAGCAGACCCATTTCTCAGCTTCCCCCACACACATTCTCACTCTGGAATCTTCTGCCATCTTATAGATGGGCCTGTGTTATGATCTCCACTTTTCCGACAAGGAAGCTGAGGCTCATGACCAGGTAGATCTAGTAAGCAGAGGATGGAGCCAGATTCGACTGTTTCCAAGCCCAGCATTAACTTTCAGGAAAACGCAGCTCTCCCTGTCCCAGCTGCCTGCATGGCCCTCAGCTCTCTCCGCCCTCTTTGCACTTGCCTTCCAGTCAAGGTGATTCTGGACAAATACTACTTCATCTGCCAGAACCCTCTGCACTTCATCCCAAAGGGACAGATGTGTGACGGCCACCGTGATTGTGCCGCAGGGGAGGATGAGGAGCCCTGTGTCAAGAGCTTCCCCGAGCAGCCTGCTGTGACAGGTGAGTCCACGTGGGGACAGAGTATGAGAGGGGTGCAGCCAGCAGGAAGTCTGCTCAGGCCCCCTGGGTCTGAGCGTCAGCTGACTATCTTGTCTAAGGCCGGGGATTTAGCTCAGCAGCACAAGCGTCTGCCTGGCAAGTGTGAGGTTGTGAGTTCGATCCCCAGGTCCCCCCCCACACACACCAAAAAAGGACATGTCTATGACTGATGTGTTGAATAGGGTTCGCCAGAGCAGGACCCTGCCATGTCTGTCTCTAGATCTCAGAACGTAACAAAAAGCAGGCACTCAGTAAAGGTTGGATGGAGGGGACAGGAAATTGTAACCAAACCTGTATCACTCCTGCTATACCTGCTTGGTTTTGAGAAAAGGCACTAACTTGGTTGACCTGGGAGTTTCTCCTTCCCATGAAATCCCTGATTTCAAGAAGACTAGAAAAGAGAGCGCCAGACCGTCCACTCAGCTAGTGACCCTAGGTTGATTAGTGTTTACTGTAACGAGCTGTGTAACCGGCCCTTCAGAAGAGCGTGAGCAACACGGATGATAACAGCCATGTTACTTCTTGATCTGTCTGGCAATTAGACTCTGAAGAGGAAAAGCCAAAGAGATGGGTGATAGGCCCGAGCTCAGGGACTTCCTGTGTAATTTGCTCTTTTTTAATTAAATCCACGTGCCTCCGAGCACCCGCAATCATCCTCCCAACAGACCTTCTCACTGGACTTCTACCCTGACCTTATATGGAGAAGCACACAGGTCTCCGGCTGAGCAGTTTCCCCAGGCTAAGCGAGCTGTGTGACCATAGAGTGACCACACAACAGTTCATTAAAACTGGTATCTATGGGGGCAAAAGGAAGTGATGTTACTCACTGTGCCAAGGCAAGAGGCCAAATGGAAATTGATACCAGAGCATCCACGTGCTTTAGCTACTGTCAAAACAAAGCCTAGACAAAGTCGATGTTACAAGAGTCAGGGCTCGTGAGGTCCCCAGTTCTGGGTTGGGGAACACTGAGTTGGTCTCAGAATGAGTCCTGAGGGGCTGGGCCAGAGGGCCCCTCCATCCCGCTGACCCAGGCTCCTCCCCTCCCAGTCCGCCTCTCCAAGGACCGATCCACCCTGCAGGTGCTGAACCCAGGCACGGGGAACTGGGCCTCTGCCTGTTATGACAACTTCACAGAAGCTCTGGCCAAGACAGCCTGCGGGCAGATGGGCTACAACAGGTACCCGCCTGTGCCTTCAGAGGCTGTGGCTTTGCCCCTGAAGTCTCCTCTCTCCTTCCTTCCTTCCTTCCCTCCTTCCTCTTTGCTTCCTCTCCCTCTCTTCCCTGTTCCTGCCTCCTTCTGCCTTCAAAATATAAATAATCGCGTCAGCTAGAACTGCTTTTGATTCCCAGCACTTGCACTTGTGGGAAATATGAAGAGAAAGCTCCTGGCCTCAGTCTCCTCAGGAGTTAATCAGGGGAAGTATTACCAACCTCACAGGATGGGTATGGGGTGCCAACAAGAGAATGTATGCATCCCCTGCCAACTTACATCCACTCACGCATACATCCACACGTGTGTACGCTCCCACATACACCGACACACAGCATATATATGTACACACACACACTTGTACATACTCTGACACACACCATATACACACAGAGTTCCAGGTCTTCTGCAGTCCTCTTTTTCCCTGTCCAATAAAACCAACATCTAATTTATTATCAAAGTCCCATTGGTTAAAATTGAATTGAAATGATCTTGATTTCATGGGGGCCCCATCACAGCAATCACGGCAGTCTCTCAACAAATTCCAAAAGCAGTTCCAAATCAGGAGTGGATGGAAAGAACTTGATTATAGAAATGGTAATTAGCATCATATATATTTATATTCACTTGCTCTTGGCAGAAAACCAAAAACATAGCTATTAATATATCTATATTATAAATAGGCTCAGAGAAAGTAACTTAGTTAGGTAGGAGGTTGGAGGTAGAGAACTAGCATCTATACCCAAAATGCCCCAGTTGGGGGTGGAGGGGTCAGGTCTTGGGTTTGCATATCAGGAGATTCTCTCTTCTTGCATGGCTTCATGTATAAGGAAGGGAACCTGAGACCGTTGATCACTCAGAGAGCCAGCCTGGAGAAGATAAGAAAGAGCATTTGTAGGATAGGACAGTCTCTACCTAGCAGGCATGAGCACGAAACTTCAGGATTTTGAGAAACTGGGCCCAAAGATGAGATGATAACTACTAAGCAGACATCAACAATCAATCACAGATCTCTGCTCCATGGATCCCTCAAGCAGCTTCAAGGTCCTTTTCAATAAATGCTCCAGACAGCCTTTACAAATCGACCTGGCCTATATGTACTCTGCTCTCTAGCTATCAGGCTTCTGTGCCTTTCCACCCTCTATGGGTGCAACTCCCAGTATCCTCGAGAGGGACACCATGCACTTTCATTTTCAAGGCGACGGGAAGGCATGTCTGGCCCCTGTTAAGGTCCACTCCTCCTGCAGCTGCCCTGACCTGGCATGGCTGCAGCCAGCCCCTCCTCCCACTGCAGTCCTGCCAACTGCAGCGTCAGCTGTAGGCTCAGCAGACTGAGGCTGGATTACAAAACCTGGGTATCTCCTAGGGTCCCCAAGATGATAGGCTGCAGGCATTTCTGTCCTTCTGGAGATCACTAAGACACCAAACAACCTAGCTCTTAGACTCATGAAATCAAATTTCTTTAGAATTATTCATCAGGCTATAACTGATGAACAGAAGGTAACTTTCACGGGAATGTGCATTTCCAACATTCTCTCTCTTTGGGTAGATTTCTCTACTCAGATTTTTCTTGCTTTCCTCTGCCTGGATCAGAATCACTTCTTGTCCTAGGACCACAAAGCCATAGGTGTGACCCTAGGGGTCATCTAGTCCATCCAAAATGTTACCAAGGAGAAAACTGAGGCTCAGAGAGACAGAAAAGGAATGCGAGCTCCCCAAGAGTCTTTGTTCCCCGTGCTGCAAACCACAAAGTATGCTGGGACATTTGAGCCAGGGACAGAGCTGGACACATCTCCAGAGCTCTGGGTTCCAGAGTAGGAGTCTCCACCCAAGAAAGCAAGGGTGCATGAACACTGTGCCCAGGGATGAGTCCAGGGTGCCAAGGGGAAGTCCTTACTGCACAGCAAAACAAGTCCCGTCCACTGACCGAGACCACCTCCACTTCCCCATTGTCCCCACCACCACTCTCTGCCACCCCCTCTCCTGCAAGAGCAGGCTGCTCCTACCATCTTGCTCTCGCCTCCCCCCAGCTCACAGCTCTTACCCCCTCCGACAGCCAACCCACTTTCCAAGCTGTGAAGATCAGCTGGGACCAGAAACTGGATGTTGTTGAAGTCATAGGAAACGGCCAAGAACTTCAGGTGCAAAACCCAAGTGGGTAAGTGATGGGTCTCTTCTGACGTGCAAAGACCATGCGTGGGGCTTCGAGGGCTGTAGCCAGCTGAGCCTAAAGAGACCAGCAGCAAAGGGAACATAAGCCAGATAACAAGAACTCTTCACCAGAGCTACAGATCACTAAGTGCCGCTATGGCATCACATTTCTGGGAGGTTTTCTGTGTTGACTTTTTTTTAATACGATGGACAGTTGGACAAAGTGTTCTGTCCTACCCAAAGGCAAAAGGGCGAATAAACTGGCCTTTCTATCCATCTGAATATAAAACCAAAAGCCTCTTGCTACTGCCTTGTGTTTCCTAATAAATTGCCCAATAAGCCACTTTGCAAAAGTCACTTTGTCCTTCTCCACCACTTACCCAAGTCAAAGCAGGACTTCCCTGTATTCCCAGTGTTCCAGAGAAAAGACCCTGGACTCTCTCCTCACTGCCCTGCGTTAGAACCAGCATCCAAATTAACTCTGTCCCACTGAGGCAGGGTGCTTTGGAGGGGATGCTGGCTCCTCAGCATTCAAAGTTGTTTCTGAGGGCTGAGTATTCATCAGAGTGAATCCTGAACAGTCAGGATCAGTAGTAGAATGACCGTTTGCCTTGAGTGCCATTAAAATCCTATTCTTCCATTTGGAAAGTCTGCAACACAACAGACTCTGTTCTGCGCAGTGTTCTTTTCCTGTTCAGGCTGCCAGGAGCCTGCACTGGGCAGAGTCCTGCACATAATTGATGCTCATTAATGGGGGTGTTGGATCAAATCAAATTGCATGAGTGTAAATGCGGTTTCTATAAAGTCCCCATCGTGCAGGTTTCAGATTTCCCAGGTACTGGGAAGGGGCTCGGGCCCGAGTCCCCTCCTCCCAGCCAAGGGAGAGTGGCACCCACAGGGCCCTGTGTTCTCTTGCAGACCCTGTGACTCAGACTCCCTGGTCTCCCTGCAGTGCCTTGGTGAGTATGCCTTGTCTCTGCAGATTTGGGGCTGAGCCCACAATGAGCGGGGGAAGGCCTTTGTCCTCATTCCTAAATATCCCAGAAACCAAGTTTCACTCTACTTTGGCCCAACTTCTGCCTTTGGACTTGTGGGTTAGTTCTCCTTCAAGTGGCTGAATTAAGAACTCAGTTCTATCATCTGATCGCAACCCACGGCCTCGGTGTGCTGTACAGTACTAATTTCTCATGACTGTAATGAAATACCCGAGGCAGGGTAAATTCATAAAGAGAAGAGTTTTGGAAGCTTAAGGGCAAGATCAAGTAGCCCCATTGATTTGCCCTCTAGTGAGGGCTTAACGTCAGACAATGAATGGATCATGGCAGGAGTACATACAAGAGTGAGAAATACATCACAGAATAGAAAGACAGAGTGACGCAGGGCTCAGGCTGGTTCTTATCACCACTCACTGTCATAAGCACTCCGAGATCCCACGAGAACTCAATCTGTTCTAAGGACAGTTCCTCAGTGACCCAAGGGTGGCCAGGACCCACTATGGAAGATACCATCACCTCAACCCCACCACTGTAGACAAAGGGCTCAGACATGAAGCTTCAGGGAACATATTTAAACCATAACCAACCACAGCGGGGGGCTACAAAAAAACTGACCTGGCTCAAAGGAAACTTTACATCAGGACAATGGCAGGCTGGGAATGTAGCCAGGGGCAGTGGTACAACATTCGCCGGGCATGTACAAGGCCCAGGTTCAATTCCATCACCTCCAAAAATAGACACAGTGCTAGGCACATAGCGAAAGGGTGGCAGCCTCCGGCCTTGGTAAGGAGCACCATGGCAGGGCGGCCAGAAGGGCCAGAGGGGCAAAGCACAAATGGGAAAGTGGGATTGGAGGACGCAACGGGGGCCAAGGGCTGGATGTGAAAACACGTGCAGGAGAGGGGGAAGGCAGGGGGGCAGACACGAGAAGAAGGACCTTGGAGAAAGATGATTTGGGGATGGAAAGACCCCGTTTCTGGGACTTCCCTTCTCATTTCCTGAGTCCAAAGTAGCTTTTGGACATTTGTTTAGTGTTGCTCAGCAGGAGTGGCCCAGGACGCTGCCTGCACAGGGTTTCTGTCATTCTGCATCCTTGTTCACTTGCAAGGACATAAACTCCCAGCATCACAACTCCCCTCTTCCATTCAAACCTGGTCCGTCCTCCCCACCTCCCGCACCAGTCCTGAAAAGAAAATGGTGTGCGTTCTCAGGCCACAGCCCCATCCTGTGGCCTAACTTCCTCTTCCGCCTCCTCGATGCTGAGCTCAGCCTGCGGGAGCAGTGCTAAGGCCTCTCGCGTGCTGGGCGGTGAGCAGGCGTCTGTGGAGTCTTGGCCCTGGCAAGTGAGCATCCAGTACAACAAGCAGCACATCTGTGGCGGGAGCATCCTGGACCCCTACTGGATCCTCACGGCAGCCCACTGCTTCAAGTAAGGACCTGGGTATCAAGGCCACGAAGGGCCCGTCTGACTTACTTCCTATGCCTACCCCCTCTCCATGGAGACCACTGCTAGGGTGGACAGCTGTGATGCCCTCTGCTGGAGACTGCTCAGACAGCAGAGGGTGCTGCCCACCAAGCTTGACCTCTGCTGGGTAGAAAACCATCAGATACCCAGGATCCTTCGCACCACAGCCCAGCCCCATCCCCTTTCACTCCACAAAAACTCATCCATCCTCCCTGGGGTCCTGAAAACTCTCTCCCTGCCAGTCTTCCAGGAAGTGTCTCCAAGACTAGAATCACTGTTATTCCTCATTTTATACAGAAATTTAAACAGGGATAGTCTCCCATTGGGTCCAGCAGAGATGGACCTGGCCATACCTCTGGGGAGGGCCACACCCATGCCCTCTGGACTTTCACCAAACCCAGGTGCAGCAGACAAACCCCAGCACTGCCTTCAAGTCACTCCCAGTCCAGGTCAGGGGTTCTTAGCCTTTCTGAGAATCTGGCAAGAGCTATAAATCCTCTCCTAGAAGAACTGCACACTACACAGTGTCTGGGGCAGGGGGGACAGACATCGCGTATATGACTGACCTCAATATGAGTGCCACATGAGTAAAAGACCAGAACAAAAATGGGAGGCTAGCCCTTGGGAAGCTGAGGCAGGAGGATCACAAGTTTGAGGCCACCTTGCCTACACAGTAAGTTCAGGGCCAGCCTGCACCGCATGGATGGTGAGAACCTTTCTCAAAAAAGAACAAGGTTAAGAAGAAAGAGTATCAGGACCCCAGGGTTAGGCCACAGGACAGCCACGTCTCCAACACTCCAGGCAAAAGTCTCCCTGGGCAAGTCTCACCAAAGAAAAAGGAATCAAATCTCCTTTGAACATAGTGCCTGTTTGGTAAATCCTCTGACTGCCCTGATGTACCCCCAGACCCCCACATTCCCATCGTCATGTTAGGTAGCATCATCCACAGGACCTCAGGAAGCCAGACCTTACCCACACCTCCTTGGGTCTGGCTCACGCCTAAAGCCAGCTGTCTCTTCGCACAGGAAATATCTAGATCTGTACAACTGGAGGGTGAGGGCTGGCTTCGACACACTGGGCAACTTCCCATCCCTGCCGGTGGCCAGTATCTTCATCACTGAGCAGAATGACTCCTACTCCAAAGAGAATGACATTGCCCTCATAAGGCTACAGCTCCCTCTTACATTCTCAGGTGAGTGGCGCGGTTGGGGACAGAGACCAAGCCCTCCGCTGGGTCTGCACACGCTCTGCCTCTACACCACTTAGTGCCCTTGGGTGCACTCATCCCGTCTCCAGACCCCAGCTTTCCCATTTGTTTCTGACTAATGCATCAACCCAGCGTCACCAACACCACATGGTCACCTCCCCCTGAAGCTGCCAGTTGTCAGCCCCCATCCCCTGCCACAGGGGCCTCCAAGGTCTCTTTTCTCCATTTGGAGCACAAATGAGAATCACAGTCACAGAATTTGGGAGTTAGAAGGACCCTTGTAAAGGGTCGCCTGGCCCGTTACCCACATCCTGGCAGTGCCCAAAAGCTTATCTGGCCTCCCTACTGGTGGTGCATCACTTGCCACCGCACGAGGGGGAACTGGTTACTTCTGAGGCAGCCCACACAGACTTTGAACAGTTCCGTTAGCTGCCGCATGCTTGTACAGAGTAATTTTTAGATTTGTACTTTCATCCCTGAAGGGACCACAGGATAAAGGCACCCAGGGGGAAAGTTTCCTTGTCAAATAACTTCATTTAGCGTAATTTCATTCTTGGAGTGTATTAGCTTACTAGAGGTATGAAAAGTGTTTTAAAGGACCTCTTCTCTTGCATGAAATCCACTTTGGGGGGGTGTTACTGAGGGAGAAACCCAAGGTCTTCACACTTAGCTATGTCTCCTTTTGGCTTGTTTGGTTTTTGTTTATTGGTTGGTTCCTGAGATGGGTTTTGCCAAGTCTCTAAATTTCCCAGGTTGGTCCCCAACTTTCAGTCACAGTCTTTCTGCCTCTGCCTCTCAGAATGTTGGAATCACAGGCATGAGCCACCATGTCTGATTGGAGTCCACACTTTTTAGACTTATTTGACCACAGAGTCTTTTTCTTTTTCATATTATTTCTCTTAGCATCCCACACAAGTGGTGGGTTCCTCTCAGAGGGCTTAGCTGCCACAGTATCCTGAACTCTGTCTCTCTTACAAATTTTTTGACTTGGTGTTTGCATTAATCAGCCTTGGTAAGGTGACAGACACACAGACAGCAGCCTTTGAAAGGAGAGCTTATTGCCTACAGCTCCTGAAAGAAGGGGCGTGCGGGGCCCTGTGGGGAAGCTCCAGGTCAGTGCAGGTCAGGACAGGGAGCTGGGCACAGCCCGGAGCCCTGACGGTTTCCAGGGAAAGGCACCACAAGGTCAGGTAGGTGAATCTGAGCACGCTGGGGAGGGGACAGTGAGAATAATTCTCTAGGCTTGTCTTTAGTTGTCACGGTCCTGGCACTGGGGTGATGTATGGAAGAAGACGATACTGGCTTTGGGCTGGGGATATAGCTCAGAGGTACAGAGTTAGCCTAGCATGCACAAGGCCCTGAGTTCAATCCCCAGTACCACAAAAACAAAGAAAATACTGACTTTGTGTGTGAGTTAGATAAAGGACGTGGCCAGGGTATAGGCTTTGGATTGGGTGGTTTGCATGTTAAAAGTATGCCCACAGCCCAGTGGTTTATTATCTCTAGGAATTAGCTAATCAACTCTCTTCCAGACCAGTAAGCTCCCCAATATGTCAAAGCTACACAAAATACAGACAATTTTTAAAATATCATTAATACAGCATCTCCCTCTTCTGCTCCTGGTAGGCACAGTCAGACCCATCTGCCTGCCCTTCTTTGATGAGGAGCTCGCTCCAGCCACCCGACTCTGGATTGTTGGATGGGGCTTTACAGAGCAGAACGGAGGTAAGTCCTAGCCGGGTCTCTTTTCTCTGTGTCTGTCCCTAAGTTGCTAAACTTTACTAAAAAATAAAAAAATCCTGCAAGGCAGGAGGTGTCCTTGTATGAGGAAGAAGTTCCCACAGACAATAGGAAAGGGAATTAATTTTCGGAAAAGCCCATTCTAGAAGACCAAGTCCCCAGGCTCTTGACGTAAAGCAAAGAGCGTTAGTGACCCAGAAATTAACCTGGGCTAGACATAGAAGATCAGAATGAGGACGTGTGTTTTCAACCTCCCAGGGGAGATGTCTGACACCCTGATGCAGGCTTCTGTCCAGGTCATTGACAGCACCCGGTGCAACGCAGAGGATGCGTACCAGGGAGAAGTCACCGAGAAGATGCTGTGCGCAGGCGTCCCGGGTGGTGGTGTGGACACCTGCCAGGTGGGGCCTCCAAGGTTTGTGGGGAGCTCCATGGCTGGGGATGTAGGTCCCAGACAAAAAACCCAGACACTGAAAACCTCACATGAAACTTTCCTACTCAGATAAAGAATGAGTGAGTAGATAGATGAATAAATGGATCCGAACAAGCAGGTAGATTTCCAATGTCTTGTTTCGTACAAAGATGGCATTATCACCCTCCCCATCCACACTTAGTTTTCATCCTCTACAGTATTATGAACCCTTGAGGACAGGGATGCCAGGTTCCTTTTCTCTGTGACTGTCCTAAGATGCTAAACTTTCCTAGAAAAAAAGCCTCTTGGGCTGGAAAACCTGATGCATGTCCCCTTTCCTCAACCTTCCTGGCCATCAGGAGAGCTTAGCAATCCTGACAGCCGTACTTCCCTGAGGATCGTCAGGACCAATTTCTTTAAAACCTCTAACTCTACTCCTACTCCCACCCTAGTCATTACAATCCTTCAAGAGACATCACTTGGCCATCTCTGTGTGCTGTGAACATCTGGGATGCAGAGGACAGCATCTGCCCTCGGGGACCCGCCCAGCGATGGTGGGGGGCATGCACACACAGGCAGCTGGGTTGTGGGTGTTGATGGAAGCTGACAGGCAGGTCTCAGAGGAGTGCATTTCTCACTATCTGACATTTACTTTTGTTATTCGCTTGCTTACATGCACTGTCATCCCATTTGACTCCAAGCTTCCTGAGGGAAGAGATCTTTGGGGTGCTTTTCTTCATTACTTGAACCCCAGTTTCCCAAACCGTACATGATACCAAATATCATGCACTCTGTAAGTGTTGTTAGACCAACTTAGGAACTACCCAGTAAAACAGAGATAACCAAGCTTCCTTAGAAGGAAAGGCCCTCATTTTGCTAGGTGAGCTGTAACTTTCTGGGCAATGACAGCAGCCAACTCACAACTTACCTGACCCCAGGCGGGCTCCCTGTGCCCCGGGAGAGAACAGCATTTGAGATGTGGAAGCATGATTGTGGGGAGGGTGGAGGAGCAGAGCACGAGTGAACAGAGGGGCCAGTTTAAGGAGAGGAGAAAGAAAGCCAGCCCCTGCCCTTCCCTCCCAGCAGCCCAAATTCTGACCTCTCACAGGGTGACAGCGGTGGGCCCCTGATGTACCACTCTGAGAAGTGGCAGGTGGTAGGCATTGTGAGCTGGGGCTATGGCTGTGGGGGCCCAAGCACCCCAGGAGTATACACCAAGGTTACATCTTATCTCAACTGGATCTACAGTGTGCGGAAGGTGAGCCCCTGTGCCCCCCATGGTGCCCTCCCTCTTTTCTTCCACCCTGATCATCCTTAGAGTTGACTTCAGTGGATCTGACAACACTTTACATCCCAAGCTTCTCTCCCAACAAGCTGTCAGCCTGAGATTCCCCCATTAAGGCTGTAAATCCTTAGGTCCGAGATTCCTGTTAAGTGCATGCATCTAAGGTATGGAACACATCAAGCTCTCCCATTCTTTATTTTCTAACAGAAAGCAACTATCAGATCCTTTCCAGAGAGATTCTGGTAAGGCAGAGAATGGAAGAGCTTATGAGGCTTCCTGGACCCAGGAGAATAGAGAGAGAGGTGCAAAGGCTTCCCTTGGCAAGGGAAGCTAAGTTTGCACTTAGCACTACTCTGCCCAGCTTTAAATCATTTGACTTTCTCCTCGCTGTTCTCTTCCATCTAGTCCCTGTGAGGTGCTGAGCTGCTTTCCCCTCCCTCCCCACTTGGAGATCTCCCAGAAATCAAACTCAGAGCAAGAACTTGGGCACAGCTCTCTGCCTGCAGTCTTGGGATTTCTTGGATCAACAAAGGGCCTCCGTTCCTGAAAGAGACCTCATGCTCCAAAGGGACCAGAAGAAAGTCAGCTGCCTTAGCTCAGCCATCCCCAGGAATCACATGGTGCACTGAACAGGACCAGGCGACAGAGGCATTGCTGAACAGAGAAGCAACCTCCCTCTACCAAGCGGAGATCTTCCATGGGAATTCAGAGAACTGAAGGCTGCGTGGAGGGGGAAAGGGAAGGGTCTGAGCAGCCCTCCCCTCCGCCATCCCCAAGCCCACTGAAACGAGGAACCAGATGTAACGTAAAATATATCGTCCTACTGTGGAAATGACTACTGACACATATCACTGTCATTATTGATACTTGTATGGCTGCTATCATTAAACAGGTGTGTGAAATCTCTGCCATTATCTGAAATGTTTGGGGGCTGACTGGATAAGAACCAACCTTTATTCTTTGACCTGGAGATGAAGAGTCTTGAGGAAGCATTCCTCAAAGTAAAAGCAGAGGAAAAATGAGACACAGTGAGGGCAACATTGTGTTGCAAACAGGGGAGGCCAGAGTGGACAAATCTCATCCCTACGCACGCCTTCTCTCTTTGTTGCCAATCTGTCGAGGGTTCTTTTGCTCAGTTTGGATGGAAACTACAAACTGGCAAAAACGCTGCTGAGTTAGCAGCTCCTGGCGTTAAGTGCCAGCAACCCTTGACCTTCAGTGTTACGGCTCTGCTGCTCTCTGGCACTCCTATCCACTCCTCAGCAGCCCAAGCTAACCCTTGGCCGCTGTCCGGAGCTCTCCCAGCAGCTTCTGCTGTGGCTCTGGTGCTTCCTGGTGATCTCCGCAGATCTCTGCCAAACAGTGGCAGTGGCTGCCAGTGGCCACTCCCAGTTGACACCAGTCATCTGCTGCCTTACACAGCCACCAGCGGACACCAGTTGATGCCAGTTATTGCCAGAAGTCACTGCTGGTCTCTGCCATGGATCTCCACTGAACTTTGTCTTTTGCTCCTGGTCTCTGCCACTGGTCTTAGAACTCTTCAGAATGTGTACAGCTCTTTTAAATATGACCTGCTCTGTCTATACTACACAGGATAAGAATCCTCAGGGCCGTCACAGATATAAAGCCTTATTTGGACCTACAGCACAAGAATTCAGCACATTGGAGGGAGCCCTCCTTGTCAAACCCAAAGAGTATGAGGGGGGCACTGCTTATATAGGAATTGTTTTAAGTTTCAAAGAGTCATCTGGGATGGATTCACATTCAGGTCCAACCTTGAGGATTGGTTAAAACTTCAAGCCTACTAGAGCAATGTCATCTGAGGTCATAGGGCAGAGTCAGCAGGGTGGTCACAGGATAAAATCATCCAGGACTAGATCATGCTTTAAGCCTACAGTGGCCAATTAGACATTTGCTGGAGTGACTTGTGTGTCTAGGACAGGGAAATGATTTAGGAACTTAAAGGTAACATTCAGCAGGGTTACCCAAGTTTCTAGAAAGAGATATTGAACCTCTTGAGTCCTGACTTCTACCCAGAAATCCCTCAGTGTGGTTCCTTTGAATTTTCAAAATATTACTTGCCAAGAAAAAGGCAGTCTCCCAAGTTCTGGGATATTATCATGATAAATTCCTGCACTTAAAATGGTTGGATAATTAAGCCACATGGTCTTCTCTGGCAGCTAAATGGAGACTTCGATTTTATGAAGACCCTCTTAGTATAGCTGAGTCACATCCTGCGTAAAAAATACACCTCTAATTCCATCTACTTTAGAGACTAAGGCAAGAAGATCACCAGTTTGAGGTCAATCTGGGAAACTTAGCTAGACTGTTTCTAAAAATTTAAAGGACTAGGAATTTAGCTCATGGCTCCCTGATTCAATACACAGTACTAAAGAAAAATAAAGAGCCTATATAAAAGATACCTGTCAAGGTCTTAAGTAACAGAAATCCACAAAGGTCCAAAAATAAATAAATAAACAAACAAAATTAACAAACCATCAGTGTCATGGTTTATGTTTGTGCCCCCCCAGGCCTCGTGCATTTGCATTGTGCATTTGTGATGGTTCACTGTCTAGTGCTTGGATTGATGGTGTCAGCGCTCCACCCACAAAGGGGTGGCGCCAGGATGTGATGTAATGGCAGGAAGAAGGTGTGTCTTGCTCTTTTGCCGGTTTCTGCCTTGCTGTTTGCAGCCACCATGAACTGCGGCCTCACCATGCCACCCAGCCTTGGAGCCAACTGAGTATGAAATGAAACCTCTGAAAACTGTAAGAAATAAACCTTGTCTTTCCCAACTTTGGGCTTTAGGTATTTTGTCTCAGCAATGAGTAAAAAGTAACTAAGACAGTCAGAATCATGAGTTGAAACTAAAGTGGTGATCTAAAAGCAATAAACTAAAATTTTGGATTGGCTGAAAACCTCTCTGAAGGCTGACATCAGAACCAAGCCTGGATCCCTGCAGATGGGACAGCTGAACCTACTGCTCCCATGAGGCAGAGACATCTGAGAAACATGAGAGATCCCAAATAGCAGACTCTCTGGAGAGAAACAGCCCTGAATTTTAGAGCCTCAGGATTCCCAGACCCCTTAAACATGAGCTTGAAATTGAAGTTTAAAGTTGGGAATCATAATAGCAACTAGTTTGGGATCCCAAAGACTACAGATGTCAGAATAATCAGATAACAACTAATTTGCTTGGACTATTCTTACGTGCCAGATATTGTCCTAAGTGTACTGATTCATGCAATATTGACACAAACCTGTAAGATGGTGTTATTCTTAATCTTATGCCATAGATTTTTTTTTTTGGCCTCAGGCCTGTGAAGCCAACCAATCAATACAAGCATTTTGTACCTCTGTTCCTATCATCCCAGCCTGTGTTCCTCCAAATCAGCTGGTTGCTGGGAGTGGGGGTGCCTCTTCCTGTCTCACAGCCCACATACCAGGAGGGCAGTTGACTTCTTGGTTCTCTTCCCAGCCCATGACTCATGACAACTTATTAAACATTTAAATAAATAAATAATTTTAATTGTGATTAAAAATATACATAACAAAATTTACTATCTTTTTTTTTTTTTGCAGTACTGGGGATTGAACTCATGACCTTGCATTTGCTAGGCAGGCACTTATGCCACTGAACTAAATCCCCAGCCCACAAAACTTATCATCTTAACTATCTTAAGGGTACAGTCCAATAATTCATACATTTACATCATTGTACTACCAGAACCACCATCCATCCACAGAACTGCTTTCCCTATGTAAAATTTAAACTATATATCCAGTATGCAGTTACTTCTCATTTCTCCCTGACAACAACAATTCTTCTTTCTTACTTTTTTTTCTTTCTTTTTCACAGTACTGGAGATTGAATACAGGGTCTTTAAACTGTGCCTTACCCCTGGTCTTTTCAGTCTTTATTTTGACATAGGGTCTCACTAAGTTTCCCATGTAAAACACAAACTCTCAGATTCCTGAGCCACTGGGATTACAAGCATGTGCCACCATACGCAGCCCACCATTCTACTTTTTGTCCATGACTTTGACTGTTCATATAAGTGGAATCATAGTATTTGTCTTTTTGTTCTTTGCTTATTGCATTTAGCATAATGTCCTCAGGTTCATTCATGTTGTAGCATATATTTGAAGGGCCTTCCTTTTTAAAACTTAATAATGTTCCATTATTTATGTCACATTTTATACATTTATCCACTAACAAACATTTGGGTTACTTCTACCATTGGGCTACTGTGAATAACGCTGCTATGGACCTGAGCCTATAGGCATCTCTTTAACACTCTATGTGCTCAGAAGTGAAATAGCTGTATCATATAGTAATTATATGTTTTTAATTTTTAAGACCACCATAGTTTTCAATAGAGTGTGCACCATTTAGATTGATTTTTACACACATTAACAGTTCACAAGTTTCCAATTTCTCCACCTCCTCACCAACACTTGTTATTTTCCATTAAAAGTGCATTTTAACAACCAAGGGAAAATGTCTGGAAGGTTTTAAGAAGAATGAAATGGAGCTTTTAGAAATAAAAACTATAATGATATTGAACAAACAAGTGGTTCAAATAAATAGCATTTAGGACAAAGATTAAGAGTGAAAGAATGAGCTAGGAGGTAGATTGAAGAAGTTAGTAAACTGATAAGAGAAAGGGCCAAGGATCTATCTCAGAGGCACAAGTGCCTGCCTGGCAAACGTGAGATCATCAGTTCAATCCCTGATACCAAAAAAAAAAATAAAACAAAATAAATTTATAAAAGAAAGATCAAATGAAAAATATGAAAGCAAGGCAAGGAGCAATAAAGTCTACACTGGTAAAATCTAACATGGCTGGGGCCCCGAAAGAACAGTAAAGAGACACTGAAAAAGAGGTGATTCCAAAGGAATAAGGGTTAGAAGTGCTCCAGGGCTGATAAGGCATGAATCCACAGACACAAGCATTTGTCATCGTAGTGTAAATTTATACCACTAAGGTGGAAAATTAGGGAAAAAATCCATACCTAAACACATTATAGTAAAACTGCAGGGCATCAAAGATAAACAGTTTGAAACATCCAAAAAGAAAGCTTAGACCACCACAGGACCACAAAGGCATCACAGCAAAGACTAGCAGCTGACTCACCTTCCAGTAATAAAAGACGCTGGCAGACGATGGAGTCATACCTTAAGCTGCCAAAGATAGCTAATGATCACTCAAGGGTTGTGAACCCTGGAAAACTGTCTTTAAAGAATAAAAGCATGTTCAGGAAACCGAAACTTGAGTTTACCACCAATAAGCCTCCCAAAAAGAAATATCTACAGCACATAATCAAGAAAAAAATCATTCCTAAAAGAAAGAACTAAAGAGCAAAAAGGAACAGTGCAAGAGGCACCTATAAAACGTACATAAAACTGCACCCATGTTTATAGCAGCACACTTTGTAATGGCCAGATCTTGAATACAACCTAAATGCCCATCGACTGAAGAATGGATAAAAAAAATATGGTATTTTATACAATGGAATACTACTCAGCCATAAAGAAAGATAAACTGGAGATTTATAGGTAAATGGATGCAACTTGAGACCATACTCATTAGTAAAATAAATCAGACAAACGTGTGTAAATATATTGTTTCATTAGTATGAGAAGCTGCAAGGAAAAAACATATGCATGTATATGAGAAACTTAAGATAGTTGTAGTACTGATTTCTCTGAGTTCACTAAAGAGAAATATTTGTGCTGGTATTGTTCAGACACAATGTCTTGTGCTCTGGGTGAATGATTTGGGGATGACAGTGTGCAAAATGTGTAGCACTGTTGCCCCTGTGTCTTAGTTACTTTTTACTTGTCACTGAGACAAAATAACTGAAGTCCAAAGTTGGGAAAGGAAAGATTTATTGCTTGCAGGTTTTGGAGGTTTCAGTCCATACTCAGTTGGCTCCAAGGCAGGGTGGCATGGCGGGGCCGCTGTTCATGGCGACTGCAAACAGCAAGGCAGAAACCAGCTAAAGAGCAAGACACACCTTCTTCCTGCCATTACATTACATCCTGGCTCCATCCCCATGTGGGTGTAGCACTGACACCATCAGTCCAAGCACTAGACAATGAACCAATCACAGATGCATAATGCAAAGGCATGAGGCCTGGGGGACACAGACATAAACCATGACACCCTGATTGAATGTTTTGAAATTTTGTTGTAGTTTTCTTCTTCTTTTTTTCCTTTATCCTCAAAATAAAATGGATTTGAAAAAAAATAAAATAAAAAAGCACATAAACCATATTGTTACTTGTCTACATAAAGCAACAATAACACCTATTATAAGGTAGATATGTTTTAAACTATCTAAATATTGGATAATAATAACATGTAAGTCAGAAAATGTAGTTATAGTTAAAATAATCTAACATCCTTAAGCTGACCAGGAGAGAAGTTAAATGTTAACTAAAGTTACATTACATAAAGTGTATATTATACTCTAAGTAGTTGAAAGATCAACTAGCAAAGAAATGACAATAAAATGTTTCACTTCCAAAACAATACAAATAAAAGCTAGAGTAAGGAAAACAAACATAAGCCAAGCAATCTCCAAAAACAAAAGAAGAAGAAGAAAAAGAAGAAAGAGAGCTAGAAAAGTCAAACAAATGGCATCTACAAAAGGAGATGCTTTTTTAAAAATTATCAAAAGCCATAACAAATGTTAAACTAACAAATTAATATAGAAAGATAACAAAATTAGATGAACTTGCTATAATTTGGGCCTTGAACACCCACAAAAGGCACCTGTGTTGAAAGCCTGTGTCCAGCTCACATTGCTGGGTCGGGAGTTCCTTAAGGAGGTAAGCTAAGTACCAAAGGAATGTAAACTCAGACCTCGTTATCTGTGAAACATACCTAAAACATCAGAACCATTGAAACAAAAAAGTCCAAAAAAAGATATAGAAAAGTAAAGATAGCAGAAAATAACCAAATTTAAACTTGGAGAGCTATATAATATTTTTAAATGGGGTTTTAGTACAAGAAGACAAAACTAACTTTAGGATAACCCTAACCCTACATAATCATAAAAGGTGGACTCACCAGGAAGACCTAGTAAGTAAAACTTGTAAACAGAGAGAAGAGAAAGAATGTACACCACACAGTCTTTTTGTTGCTGCTGGAGTTGGATGTCACACCAAGTCCTAACTCTGAAACAATGTTTAAAAGAAGAAATAATAAGCATTCTATTTCACCTTAAGACTCTATTTCCCGGTAACAAGATGACTCTAGGAAGTACCTTCTCCTTGAATTGGGACTCACTGCATGGGGTGAGCAGTTCAACCTTCAGACACACAGTGACCATTGACAACCCCAGACTTCTCCACAGAGAGATGCAGCAGTTCAGCAGAGCAATGGACCCTGTGGACTGCACTAGCTACCTGTGCTTGATGCTATCGTTCTTGTTGATTGTACCACTTTAATCAAAGTGACATAATTGTTCTAACCAGCTGTTCTTCCTGGTATAATAACACTGAGATTGCCTAAGAGTCAAAGAAAATACTATAGGCCAGTGCCAAAGAACCACAGGCCAGGCCAAGCAGGCAGCTACCTCTCATCCCCAATAAATTGAAGAGGCAAGATCTTGCAACAGACTCAAAACCCAAAATCCAGTTGCACCTGGAAGACACCTCTGAGAAGCAGTCATTTCCTAAGGGTTCTAAATATTAGCAATAAAGCTACACACCATAGACAATTTATAAGCATCAACCCAGGAACTGAACTTTAAAAATACAGAAAGTGAGAAGGCACTTAAACAA